CCTAATAAAATTTAAAATATTCCTTAACTGCGTGGATACTTTATCCTGCAGCATCTTCAAGTGTAAAAGACGTCCTCATCTTATGAATTTAATCACTGTAGATCATCGAGCTAGTTTGAGAGTAAATAATTGGTCAAATTTAATGTTCATAAATATTAAAGGATCTTCAATATCGGAGTGGATTTGTGATCCACATATCAAAATATGGGAAACGAAATACCGTGAGCGAATAAAATCTTTTCAAAAATATACAGCCCAAAATAATCGAAGAAATTAGAGTAGATATTTATGAAAATTTTTTAATTCATATTTATATTTTTTTTTCCGGTCATGGGTTACTTTATTTGAATATTTACTGATAATCTTAATTTTATTTTTTAAGCTATTCGTAATAATAACAAATCGATTATATATATATATTTTATTTTTTGATAATATATAAAAAATGGAACCAACACACTACTGCTAATCCCCCTAACCTATACATGTTTTTTAGGTACATTTTTACTATAAGCTCTTTTTAGAGCCATCGATATTTTTAAAATTTACACTCTTTTTATAATTTTTTATATTTTATAAGGAAATTTTATATTTTTATTATAATATTATCAATAATTAATAATTTTAATATATCCATTTTAATATATATTTTTAAACAAAGAAATAAGCTTGAGTTATTTATAATTAAATAATATGGATATTTAAATATTTCTTTTTAAATAAACGAATATATTGTATTATATGACATCAGTCAACATATAGCAGTATATTATATTAACACCAAACCGTACCATTGTTCCCTCTTTAATCTTAAGTCTAACCAATTAGTGAAATTTTCGGAAGAAAAATGCATTCCGTGCAAAAACTAATATGGCTAGTTTCTTAATCAAATTTAGCATCTTAATCTGAGCTACACAAGCCAGTCAAAAATATTTTTTGGTAGAAGGCTAATTTACTACGTTATCATTTTTAAAAAACATAAAATATCAATAACTTTAAAGTCTTAATATTATTACCTTATAAGATAACTCCACCCCATAATATTTGCCAGATTTTAATTTAAAAAAAATTTAAAAATTTGTTCTAGTAGTTTGTTTTCTATGGATAGAAAAAAACTTACAATGAGTTTGTTTTCTTGCTCTTAAGTTTTTTTTTACCTAGATAATGTTCTGAATATCAAATAAATTCTATTGCAGCAGACCTAAAAATTTCAATAATGTAAATGACTTGTGAATAGATTTAAAATTATATTTTGAAAATATGTATAAAATAAAATAAATTGGGGTTGGTGAGCTACCGCACTTCTCAATAGACGATAAGCATTTAGCATAGTACTTTAGGATGGTGATTAATTATTCGAAGGATATTATTTTTGGACTTAATAAAGGTTCTCATTTAGATATAAATTTTCCAAATTTTAACCTACAATATTATATTTTTTTTATAAGATGGTTTGTAATAGTAATTAATAATTGTTTAATATATTAGATTATTATAATATTTTAGAGTATCCTGATAAACTTAAAACTATATTTTTAATATGCGATGAAAATTTTAGTTTCGAATTATTTATTTTATAAAAATTCATTACACTTTTTGAATATTTAAATAAAAAAAATCAAACCATTAAAGTAAGGTGTTGAAATTCAATATATTATAATATAAATTTTTAAATTTGTCATACGAACTATTCAATATATTAATTATAGTGTAATTACTACTCTGTTTTGAGTTATTAATATAGATTACGTAAAATAATAAATTAAAATTAATGGGGGAAGTAAATACTAATGCATATTCAAATTTAAAGTAATTTTTTTTTTTAATTTTTTAATGAGGCACTAACCTAACCTAAAAAACGACATATGCACATAACATTCATTAGATTAGACTATAAAAGAATTCATAGTACATGCGAAGGCTAAAAAGAAGATTACATAATAATAAATAATAATCATTAATGATTTTAAAATAATTTAAACCCATAATAACTCATCATTAATATTTGATAATTTTAATATAAATTGTTTGGTTGCGTTATAAAAAAAATAACAAAATCAATAATATTTAAAAATGATGCTTATAAGATAACTGTAGTGTAATGTAATTATTTAATTTTGGGATAGTCTTAATTTCTAAAATTCTATAAAGTTGTAAAAATCTTAACAAATTAGATTTTGTTTTTTGTTTTTGGGAAAGGATGGGGGGGGGGGCTGATTTATTTAAAAGAGCCAGAATCAGAACCAGACCCCACCCTCTTCTCCCAAATACATTTATTCGCTAAAGTTAAAAAATAGTTGAAAGATTAAAGAAAAAATATCATAAAGATTGATTGAAAAATGAAATGTCATTTCGAATACAAGTGGAATAGTGACTTAAATCTTAGACCATGTTGCAAGTTGTCATACTCATGAACTCAAAATATCATAAAGATTGAAAAATGAATTGTCGAATTTAGGTGGATTGGTGACTTAAATCTTAGACTGATAGAAATTGGGAAAAAAAACTCCCTTTAAGCTTCAATATTGTGTTGGGTAAAATTATGAACTTAAGACTCCCGTTCTATCGCGAAAACAAAAATCGCTAAAAATTGGGCTTATATCTCCTAAAAAAATTTAAGCAGCATTAAAAATATTATCGTGTTAGGGAAGTAGAATCCTGTAATTAAATTCTGTTTAAATCGCTAAAAATAGGCGAAATATCATTAAGATTTCCAATTCGATTCCCAAATTTGGAATTTTTAATATAAAAATTAATTTTTTTTATTTCTACAGCCATCATTTATGACATTAATACTAAATGTATACGATATGAATATTTATTCCTGTTAATTTTTCATAAACTTTTAATAGAAGATTGAAAAATATGCAAATTCAAAGACCCATAACAATATATAATTTTTTGGTATTTTAAACGAGATAAAGGTAGAATGACCTTGATAATATTAACAAAATAATAAAATATACAGCTGTGGGAATGACTTGAAATATGTTAATATTAATAAAGGTTAGAATGGTTAAGATCCATCACTAGTGAAGAACTACAAGTTATATAAGAAAATTCTGGCATTTTGCTATAATGCAATACAAATTCTGTAACTTACGCCTATATTTAGTTTTAAACCTGTGTAATATTAACCCTTTAATGCTCCACGATTTTATTTGACATCATTAACTTATATATATTATTTTTTATTAGTATATGGCCCTTTGATCTTATTTGCTATAATTTAAAATTTATAACAATAATAGTATTTTCAAAACAACAAGAATTATTTATTGTTCGTTTTTGTGTATGAGGCTTTAACTTTTCACCATTTTTTATTTTCGATATTTTACCTAATAATTTTTTTTTTAAAGTTGCTATATATATCGGAATCGATTCAACTGTGAATTTTTATCTCAAATAATAGACAACTAATTTTTCCTTCCTAAAATAGCTAAAAAATATTATATATAATTTTAATTTTATAAGATCAAAATATTATTTTTAATTTTTTAGTCTCCCCTATCTCAAGTTAAACTATTTTATATTTGATAATTATAAAATTATTACTAAAAAATTAAATATGGTATGATTAAGGGATTTTTTGAATTTTGCAATTTTCTAAAAATTTGAAATTTTTACAATCTAACTAAACACTATCTTCATATAAGAAAAAAAACACACCTTATTTTGAATAAATAAATATCAATTCACTTAGACCATACTTTTATATATATATATAAATGGTCAATTTTTTTTGGTTCTCACGATAGTCCCAGGACTAGGCTTAACCTTTCTCGGGTGGAGTTGCTACGATCCTAATGATTAGTAATTGTAATCGATAGAGTCTGCAACAGTGGGTTGGTCCGAAACATTTTTTTGAGGTGGGTCGGGTTTGAAAATATTCTTTCACAATTTTAAATTTAAATAGTGATATCATCTATAAATCTTAGTTATATAGATTTTACATTATTTTAATATAAAGTATATATTTTCGATTATTTCTTAAATAAATTTTAGGGAAATTTCTTATTAATATTTGAATTTGGTGTCATATAAAATTAATTATATGTTCAAATCGGGTCAAGTACTTATTTTTAAATAGGGTTGGGGCGAAAATGCTTTTCCCCCGGCGGGTCTGGTCTGTAGAAAAATTAGTCTTTTACAAGTCTCTAGTATTCGATCTTCTTCTAAATTAATTCTGTTCTGTAACTACCTAGGAAATATTTATATTCGTTCTATTTTTTTGAATTAGCGACTTTGATATTATATTTGAGTCAAACAAAATCCAGAATAAATAAATGGAGGTGAGTATTTTTGACAGATATTAACATGTTCATTTAAATAAATGGTTAATAAAAGGGTGCCGAAAAGATTCATAGTTCACTAAAACACCTTTAACACTGAATTTGTTATTATTATATCTTGTTTTTTTTCCAAGGTACATGATCAAAACCTTTATATAATTATAAAATTTATGTCGCAATGTCAGACAAAAATATATAACAAAACAATGCATATAATAAGTCTTTTACTATTTGTATAGCTAGCGTCTTAATTATCTAAAAAGACATAAAACAAACGATTTTTTTTAAAAGCATATGGATGGGTTGATTTTTATGTTAGGTACTTAGTGTTCTTATACATACAATTCTTTTTTAATATAATAATTTAATTATGACAATAGTATTTTTTACTTTTTTTTTGTTAAAATGTATATATAATATTTTCTTTTTTATTATTTTAATATTATACTTTCTTTATTTTTATATTTCAATTTTTTTTATAATATGAAAAAATAATTTCAACCTATATTAAAATAAAATTCATTATTTATTTTTTTATAAACTAATTAAACTTTAATTTAATATTTTGAAAATTTAATATTTATTTTTATAAAATTATAGAACATATAGAATATACTAATGTAAATAGTTTATAATTTATTTATTTAATGTTTGCTACAATTGCAGTTAATTTTTCAAAATATTTTATTTTTTAAATAATATTTAAAAATAAAAGTAAAAATCATTTATACAATCAAATATATATAAAATATTCTTTATCAGTTTTCTTCCTTATCAAAAATTATGGAATACGAATTCGTAATCAATAAAGTAAGTCTAACTCATTTTAAAATAATATATACCAGGTAATTTAATTTTGCTTAGACCCTTATAAATATATGAAAAATTTTAAATACTTCTTAAATTAAGTCAGTAGCATCACTAAAGAAAAGGGAAGGTGCAGGAGCTCGAACTTTCTTAAAATTTTTATACCAAATGTTATTTTGAAAATGTTAGCTTAAAAAAAGAATATAATTTTGAAAATGTTAGCTAAAAAATAGGTAATGTTATTAGTGCTAAAAAAAGGTAATTAAAAATGTTATCTAAAAAAATAAAGTATTTTGATAAAAATTTTTTTTAGCCCCCTGAGATTGTTAAGGCTAGTAACGCCCCTGAATTAAGTGCATACCAAATCTTCTTGAATGTCTTTCTACAGTATTCCATTATTAATTTCATTATCAATTTTATTTTATCAATTTATATTTATTATTAAACCAGCTATCCTTTAGGGGTTTGTTAACACTTTTTTCAAAAAGAATATTAAAATAAAAATTTATAGCTCTTTTTATCTTTTATCATTAAACAAAAAAATATGGTAATATTACATTTTTCTATAATTTCCATTTCTAAAAAAAACCATTTGTATAGGAATAATTATGGAATGAAATGGGAAAAAACAATAAAATTTTATGAGTTATAAATTAGTATTAGTATACCTTACATTTTACATTTTAAACTCGTTTAATCATTGTAACTTTATTGGTTACATTCTCAAGCATTTAGTTCAGAGTTGAATTTCGGGTCCTAAAATTATTAGTTAATTCTGTCATGTTTCTAGGCACTAACGTTTCTCCCGCTTTTGATATTTTTAAATTAATTCTCCCTTGAGGAGTTTATATTTGTTAATATTCGGGTTTATGTATTTGTTATTAAAAGTGTTTTTTTCTGGATTTTATGTATTTTTTTTTTACAATGTTGTGATTGTAAAGCCAGCATAATATTCCAATTTGTTTTTTCCCACTTGTATCAAATAATTTTATGAGCATTCATAAACCCAACAAAAAGCTATAAATTTAAAAAAAAATAAAACATTATATAAAACTTAAAAAAGAGTTATTATAAAAATACCGCTTTTATTTTGTGTTTAATTTAAAAAAAAAACATATTATATATATATATTATTTTAATGGTCGTTTATTTTATATTAATGTGTTAAATTTTTGTTTAAAAAACCTATCAAAAGTTAGAACCGATACAATAAAAAAAAGACTCGTTATATAATTTTATAGAAAAACTTCTAAATAAAAGCTTGATAAAAATAATTTTTTAAAAAAATATAGGAAAAGATTTTTAAATCACGTTTCATCTAAATTCCTTTTCTAAGTTTAATTTTCCTGTATTAATAGATGCAAACCCCTCATGATATAATATTTAAAAGATCTCAAATAAACTATCGTCCATTCCTGGTTGTGAGCGTTCATGATATTGAAGATTACCTGGAAATATATTTTTTTTCCTCAATAGGCCTGAAATTTAAAATGTTAAAGGCTGGAGACCTTATAAAAAATCTGTAAATGTAAGCAATTTATAATGATTATAATAGCATAATGTTTGGATATATTATTATATTTACTTCATCATAATTAGCAATGATCATATTTAGCATGTACCTTGTAATTTAATAGCCATTACATATACATATATCTATATCAAAGATATTAATACTAAACTAGACTGGCGATTCATTTATTAATCAATGTCAATGGCTGAAGTAGACGCCATCGAATGACATTTCGTCTAGTTGTTTTTCAATTGCGGATTCTAGTGTAATTACAATTTTTAATGCATTTGGTCTATATATATTAGGGCAAAATTACTTGCATGCAATACAAACTCTAAGCTACTAGTAAATACAAAATTGTTATCACATTGATGTTAGAAAGAATATTCCGCATATTATTATATGAAACGACTAAATTTTGCCATTTATATTGTTTCAAATATTAAAAATGACTAAACTACGTTATATTAGTTCATTTTCTAAAAAATCCTGAATGGGTTGACATTTAGTTGAGAATAAATTTTATAATTTTTTTTTAATAAGATGTATTTTATGGACACAGAATCCTAAAAAGGACAGTTCGATTCTAAATATCTAACTAAGGTGATGAAAAAAAATAATACGCTATATTATGGAATTTAAATCGTTGATATAAAATTAAACTCTAATTTTTTTAATAAATAAGGAAAAAATAATATCTGACAATACGTCACGTTTACAATCAATAATATTAAAAGTATTTTATTAAAATATGTAGGTTTTTTTTAAAAGCAAGACATAATTTTCTTATATGGAAGAAAAACTAATTTTTTCAAAAAAAATATTTTTGTGACAAAAATGACAATTATAAGATTATAAGATGTTGAAAAAAAAATAAATAATTGAAATACAAGAGTTCAAATTTAAACCTTATACTTATGCATTAGGTAGGTAGGACTGGTCAGATCTTCAATTTTTTATTACAAATTTAATAAGTTAAAATTTAGCGATTTTTTAAATTTCATTTTATTAATTTTTTATATGTTTCTCGAGGTTGATCCAAAAATAAATCCTAAAGTAAAACTAATTTTTTGGTTCAGTTCGTGGCGCCATTTTGAGGTCGGTTCAGGTTATTAAAAACTCATATTCATGAAAAAATGTTCAATATTATGCAATTATGATTTTTTTTAATTTACCATTTGTGACTTAAAAATTAAAAAAAATATGAATAAATATACTTTTTTGCGACCACTAAAATAAATTATTCATAATAATTAGATCCCAATAAATTTAGTTTTCAATCGGGGGAACTAGAACCTACTCTAAAATGGTTTAAATCACTTGGCCAAGCAAAAATCAGATTAACTCAGGTAGCCATGAGATGCTTCATGCTTCAGCCTTGAGCTAGTATATTTTATGCGAAACTGGTTTAGGGCTAAACCGTATAGAGGTCACCACGGGCGTAGCTATTTATTAACAAAATTAATGTAAAATTAACTCAACTATAAATAATGGATATTTGGCGCTTAACCTTTTAAATTTATGGTCATGTTGAGGAACATTATTTTTCCTAAATGTCTTGTTTTTTTAATATGGATTATTTAAAAAATTAAAATGATTATGTATTTTTTTTCCATTACAATAATAGAAACATTTTTTTTAATCACACCATTTTATGCTACAAATTGCAATATCTCTAAAAAATATGGCATGAAATCATGCTGTTGAAGAAGGTTATTTTTAAAACAATTAAAGCATTCATTAGTCAATCATAAATTTAAAAAAGATAGAATTACAATGTTAAATTTTTTAATTTTAAGTAAAGAGGAAATCGTTTTTTTAATATTGATGAAAAACATATGATGCTAAATTTCGAGAATGGGATAAATATTAAGATTAAATTATAGTGAGAAAATCATAAATTCCACGTTCGTTAATATGGTTCCTGTTAAGATTGTAAAAGTGAATAATCAAAATTCTTCAAATAATATGAATTGTTTATAAGATGAATTTTTATCATAATTTTATAAATACTAACAACACCAAATAGTATGGTATTGCGGATTCATCAAAAACATAATTAAGAATAAATAGTCAAGGTGGGAACCAAAAAGACTTCACTTCGTAAATATCATTTAAGTTAGTAAAAAAATCATACACTCCCTCCACCCACCCCTCCCCTAAAAATGTATACAATATTGCTACTAAATAAACAATAATTTAAAAGAATATTATCAAAAAAATATATTTTTAAAAAAGATAGAACAATTATTTTTTAAAAATATAATAGACAAAGGCCTACGATATGAACCCAAGACCTTATAAAATTATCGAGGAGACCCCTCTAATAGTGCCTCCTCCCCATCAAAATCATGGCTACGCATATAATATATTTTAACCTTTTCATAAAAATAGTATATTCAGATTTTTATATCAATTCTGTCAAATAATTTATATAGGATTTTCTGAATAATTCAATTATTTTTTTTGTGGGTTGTATCTATATTCTATATATTCCACCTCATCGTTCATGTAATTTTTTAATAGGATTAGTTTAGGAATTTACAATGAAATAAATTAACCCTCCCGCGAAATATACCAATTAGTTTTGTTAAAAGTTAAGTAACAGTTGTATCCTTAAAATGTAACTATACAGTTACTCGTTTATATAAAAAGGAACTTGTTAATAGTTGGAACTACTCAAAAGTAAATAGGTACAATGAACGTTGCTTTATAATATTTTTTATATAATTCATTTTTTTAATAGAATCAAATAAAATAAAATTTAAAAACATTTATTTGTACCTGAAAAATATATAAATAACCCAATATAATACTATTTTTCATTAAAATTTGGGCTTAAAATTTTTATCTGATATTATAAAAAGTTAAAATTGGTAAATCATTATAGATACTGCATTATATATATAAATATTTTACAAAGTAACTAGTTACTTTGTCGTTACATCCAAAATATTGTAATTGTAAATAGTTACTGTTACATTTTTTGTTAGACAAATATATGTATTTTTTACAGCCGACTTTTATTTTATTACAACTACTAAAAAGGAATGGTTTAGCCTATAACGGTAGGTATTAGACGTAACCTCGTCAGTAAAATATCAGGGACGTAGTGGATATTTCAAAATGTTATATATTTTTTTTCATTTTTGTTAAATTTCAATCAAGCAATAAGCATAATATTAACCCAAAAAATTGCCCAGGAATTTACCCTTGTTTAGCACAAAATATTAGAGTTGATTGATATTTCACACCTTCACCAAAGATAACAAGCTATTGTACAATAAAAATGTTTTAACCCGACTTTTGTGGAAATTCGTCTAGCGTGAACTTGGGGAGGGGGAGGGGTTTAAATTTTTATTAAGGCAGGGGCCAAAATTAATAAAATTCTTAGTCAAGTAAGAATGTATCCCTTATAGAGAAGTATTTTGCGCTAATAGTTCAGGTAGGTATAGGGGTCACTTATGAGTTATACAATATTATATATTCATTTTATATATATATACAATGTCTTCTGTCCAAGAAAGAGGGAACCTTTTAAATGATGAAGAAACATCTATGGTTTAATTTAAAAGATTTTATTTTGAAATAATATATAATAAAAATTATTATAGTTTGAATTTTCTTTTAAATGGTAAAACCCTTTTTCTTAAAAATGAAACAACAAATGTAATATATATCTGTATGTGACTTTATGAAAAAATATATTAAAATGATAATTCTTCAATTCGGTTCTCATAATGATTTATGATTCATTCATCCCTTTATAGGGAATACCAAGTATTAAAATTAAAATTATTCTGCTCTAGCTTGTAGTATATCCATATAATTTTGAGAATTCAAACACCATTAGTTCAATTATATAGAGTACCATAGAACAAAAGGTAAGCTAGTTTTTTTGGTCAATAGAGAGAATGACCGGAATTAAAAGTCATATACGATTAAATTACATAAATTATTCATATTAATTTAAATTAATAATATATATAATCGGATCATTTTAAAATTATAATTATAAAAGGATTATTAAAATAAATAAATAATTAATGCTAATTAAAATTTATCATCCATAATTTTTGCATAATTATCTTATCTTACCATACAATAAAATGATCAGAACCATAATTATAATAAATTTTTTAATATGAAGAGAATGAAAAGGAAATAGGCTCTATAAATAATTAATATAAATATTTGATCAATTTTTTTCTTACGCAGGTGATTTTATACTTCACCGTTTTACTTTATCTTTGTTGTTACCTGCATGTAATTTAGTATTTTTAGTTTTTATTTTTCAATGATAAAGAAATGCTGCTTTTATATTTTCTTTTATTTTCATATAAAAAATTCTTTTTTTATTAACTTTTTCAAATTTTTCTTTTTCCTTTTAAGGTAATTGTGCTCAATATAATTAAACTAATGTATCTTAATAACTCCTTAAAATATAAATGACCTAATATATTTAATGATTTTATTTCATGTTTTGTATTAAAACAGTGTCCCCTTACCTTACCTATGTTCTTTTATTTTGTTTTGCACCCATTGTCAAATTTAATTGTAATTTATATTTTTTATATTTATTCATCGATAATTACATATGAAAAAAGTTATGAATTTATTTTTATATTGTAATCATTATTAAGATTAATAATCTGACATTAAAAAGGTCTTTTACTTTTTTAAAAAAAATGCCGCTATATTGTATCTTTCTAATTTTTTTGAAGTTTATTATCAATATTAATTAACCTTCGTAATTGTAACAAGTGTGTACTTTAAAAATTTATATAAAAAATTAGACAATGGGGTTTATGTCGGCAAATTGGATATTATACAATAATTTTAATTACAAATATAATATAATTTACGCATGTAATTACCGCCATCCAACATAAGACAATGGTCCTATGGTATAGTGTTTATATTATTTTTGTAATAAAATGAGAAATAGTTAAGACTTACAAATTATAAAATATAAATTATTTTAAAACAAATTTATTATATTGTTAGAGACCTAATATATGTATATATGTTAGAGTCATGTGTTATTTTTTCAACCTTAAATCATTTTTGAGCGCGTTTATTTAGATGTAAAGATCTGATTTTACCGGAAATGTATTCCGGCATGTTTAGAATACCTATCTTATGAATTGTAGATAACCTTATGGTTAACTTTTGAGTCATTTATAATTCATATAAAAATCTATGGAAAAACGAATATAAATTATAATATGTTCAGAAGTTCATGACAAAATTATCTTAAATTCACAGAGGTATTAACATGATGAAATACATTTCTGGTAAAATCAAATATTTTAAAATAAAAAAAGGCGCTCAAAAAATGATTTCAAGTTGAAAAATAAAATGCCGAAAAAACACCATGCCGATTATAACACTGATCATAACAATTTTTTTAAATGAATTGGAAGTTATAATAGCTGGCCCTATTTATTCATATCAAAAAAGGGGAATCGCTGGTTATTTGCATAATAACTTTTTTTGATAAAGTATTTTTGTCTCTCGTTCTGTTATCACAATAGGCATTAAGGCAAACTATGATTGTTTCTTTATTTATTACTTAAAAAGCAGAAAACAATGAAAGTGATACATTACTGGTATAAGATTTTTGAGACCCAAGATCAAAGCGCGAACAAGGGAAAATGTTATTTGCGAGTTTTAACTTTATTTTAAGGCTGCGTACTAGTAATATTTTGTTAAAATAAAACCTTGACTTCCTCTAACATTATTTATACAATTATTAACTTTTATAAAGATAATGAATAATATTTCAAGATACAACCTTTGTTTAAAATCAAGTTAATAAAAGGAGTAATACTAAGATTCAACCTAAATATAATGAATTTAATTTATGATTATTATTAGAAATCCGAACCGTGTATATTTTTGAAACGATTTTTCCACCCGGCCCGCAAAATAAGTTTGTCCAAGTAGTCAGGGCCCAAATATATTTTGCACAAGTTACCCGGTCCAAACATCTTTGGCACGCTGATTTCTAATTGTTATACAATTGTTATTCATATTCCTAAATCGGTAATAATACAAAAAAGGTCTCAAATTTAACTTTACACATTTAAAATTTCAGTTAAAATTTAAGTCAAAAATGACAAATTTTATTTTAAAGTTTAAAAATCACCAAGATGTTATTTCTACTATTAATAAATATTTAACCCTGCATTCATAATTAGCGCGAATTTGCAGCTAAGTATATAAAAATACCATATTTTGTATACTTCGCCATGAATTCGTGCTAACTGTATATGCGGGGTTATGCATTGTTTCATTAATAAAAATGAAAGAGTAGAAATTAAAAAAGTTAAAATATTGGTTTTCAGTTTTATCTCATCACAATTTTAAATTTCGTTTTAAATCAATAAGTTTATATTAATTCATTCCTATTAGTATAACAATAATATTTTACTAATTTCAAATAAAATTTTAGCATGAAATATTATACATTAATAAAAAAATACAACTAACAATGAAAAGATTGGGTTGCCAAACATTATACGATATTATTAATATATTTAAGGATTTGTTAAATGAAGTATGAAATGTTCATAATTTTTTAAATAATATATTATAATATATCTAATCCTATTATGTAACACGTTAATCTTTAATAATTTTGTTAAATACTAAATATTTATAGATTAAATTTTTTTTAACTAACTAAATAAATATAATAAAATATAATATTACATATATTTTAAAATAGACATAATAAATTATAATCAATATTAGCTAAGGGAATTTACCCATTTATAATTTACCGAATTATATATTGCAGTACAAAAAACAAATCATTATTATTTATAATCCATTCCTAAAATTAGAACAAACTATATAATTACAATTTAAAATAAAATATATATTCAGATTAATAATTTAAACGTGCGGGATCTCAACAATGAGCAGCAATTAGGCATTATTCAAAATTCAGGGGAAACATGCCTGATGGAATTAACCAAAAGGGAACTAGGCACACGCGATTTAAATTTATATTCAGATAGTAATGAAGAATCAAGTTCGCTCCCGATGAATCCATTAAATATCATCCTTACCCAAATTTCAAAAGAAAACTTTACTAATGATAATCTAATAAAAATGAATAATCCTAATAATAATAAAATTGAGACCAAAATGCCTGACACCCAAACTCAAAGTGATATCTTGGAAATATTAGCATTCCTTTCTCAGGAGGAAAAGGGAGTGCTGTTGAAACATCTGTTAAAGGATGATTCCGATTTTCTAGAATCATCATTACGGTAATAATAAATTCCATGATTTCTATATATGTTATAAGTTTGATAGATGTTAAAGGCGGAATAGGATAATTCAAAAATTGTGAATAATGCATTAGTTCGGATCAGGCACTTTTACACGAGAGAGGGGGGGGGGTTGGCATAGGTTTGATATGGCGTAAAAAAAGAAGTAAAATACTAGATTTTAGGTAATTTTATTTGTATTAAAACATAATTTTATAATCTTTTGAACTAATTTCACCTTTTTTATTTACATAACAAAAAAAATCACTCAAATATGTAAAGCAAGTGGTTATTATTCTATATGTAAATAAATTTTATAAAACCAATTTTTCAGGATAGATTTGGCATATGAACATTAGAATTTTTAAGGTTTTAATTTAATATATAATATTTAGCTTATTACTAATAAAATAAAATTGCTTTATCTTTTGAATGACCATTAGAAGTTTTAATTTGATAAATTTTAACATTATGAAGTGATTTGAAATTCATATACTTGAATAAATTGATTTTAAAAATAAAGCAGATATCCAAGGAGAATTAAGGAGCCTATCTATAAAAAATATCGCTTATATACAAAAAAAATTAACGAATTTGTTTTTTTTAAACTTTACCAGCCCTTTATCTAGTTATCATAGTTACATTGAACATCTTGACGAAGTTGAAGATTTCAATTTTCACGACCACAACAATTACTACTTACTAATTAAAGTACGGTATTGACATATACATTTTTTAAAAATGATATATTCGACTTTTCATCAAAATATTTTTTATGTTATTTCAAATTTGTAAGGTATCATTTTAAACTTTAGATACATCATTTGAAACTTGCTAAATAAGTTGAAAAATGCTACTTTTCATATACTTTGCAAGTTTATAAATATATTTTATAAGGTAAAATGCTAAATCTTTTCAAATTTGTTCCCCTTGGAGATCAGTAGGACTATTTAACTTTGTTTTTATCCCATATAGAATAGATAGATACAGTAGACAATTCTAATTATTTTAGGAAGAAATTTGTAAATGTTGAAACTTTGATCGAAATTGTTTGTAAAAAATGAATATTCACTATATATACATTTCTGTCCATACAAAAAACAATTGTATTCATTATAATCCCTAAAAAAATATTAAAGGAAGTGAATATAATTAAAAGTTATCCAGAAGAAAAGATAGGTCTCACCTTCATCTCGAAGAAAAAGAATAGTAGAGAAACTCTTATCTTTATAAGCCAGGTATAATAAACAAAATAAATTTTTCTAAATAATTATTTATATATTTCAATTTTCTATATTAAAGATCGAACAAAACGCACTAGCTTATCTAGACAATCAACTCCAAGAGGGTGACCAATTAATAAAGGTTCTTATATTTTTTACCACTAGCGTGAGTATCGATTAGTTGCCTTTTAAATTGTGTGCTGAACAAATCCCCTAAATCTTGAAGTGCGAATTGAATTTTTTTTAGAACGTCATAAATGATAAGAGAGATGCCATCATTGTATCTTTAACCTATCTCAATAATATTTATTATAAAATAATTCATTCAGATAAACGGAATACCTATTAATTCTTTGCAAATCGTCGCTGAATTATTAAAAAAAGATGCTTTAGCTTTCAAATTTGAAATCGCTCGGCCTAAATTAAAGAAGGTAGATAATAATTCTAAACTTAGATTACACATATTTAATAGTTAAATTAAATTTTGTGAAGATGTAAAATTATTTTAAAATTGATTTTAGCTATTATAATTTTTTTTAATATACTACAATTTATTGATATAAATAATTAAAAGGCTTTAAATCACAGACGTTTCCAAAATTTTGATTTAGGCGATCTGCGTGATAAAAGTATGAACGCCACACTAGACTCGCAAAAAGAAAAAGACAGCGGTTTAGATTTTAAAATATGTTCGGATGACAGTTTATCATCTGCGCACGCAGGTGTGAATTCTGACTATTACGATCTCCCACTAGAGCAAACTTTCAATGGATTACGCCTCAAAACATATATCGATGACAATGACACGAAACATAAGGCAAATAATTTACCAGACCCTAAATATATTTTGACATCAAATTATGACTTAACGAGTATGGGTGAAATGGAAAACATATATGAAGATCCCAATGATATGAACTCAACTCCGTTTATTAACAACATCAACAAAAAAATCAACAAAATATCTTTTATCGATGATCCTAATTACGAATCAATAATAGACGCAAATAACTTAGCTAACATTATTAAAACAGATCAAGATTTTATAGACAGAAATATATCCATGCCATTCAACGAGTTTTCAGTCACTCACGATATTCAAAATTTAATAGAAAAACTTATAGGTAATAACCAAATTCAGCAGATAAAACCGGATAACGATGATCAATACCCGGATGTAATGTATACGAACTCACAAAACTTAATGCACACTATAACTCTGCAACAAAGGCTCGTTCAAGAAGTATTGAAAAAAAATTATCATCTTCATCCACGTAAAAATCCACAGGATCATAAAACGGGAAATTCCCAAAATCACCCAGAAATCAGCAATAAAGAATGTAGGATGAAATTTAAAATTAAGCGCAGAAGTAACGGCACTAGGTATATGGTAAGAGAAGAGGATACTTCGGAAAAAGAAAGAAAGAATAACAAGGTACCCCATAAGTCGCCACATAAAAATAATATCAAGATTGGGGAAGGATCCTCAAATAAAAAAACAAAAAATAATTCAACAAAACATTCGAATATGGCAAAAATTTCCAAATCTGTTTTCAAAAATAATTCCCAAAATCAAATATTGAGCGTGATCACCGTTTAGTTTAAAAAATATTTTGAACAAAATATTAATAAAAAGTGCAAATAATATTAATAATATATAATTATATCGTCTATCCTTTACCGTTTAGAACTATGAAAAATCAAATTATTTATTGTCTTATTTTTCTTACAAATAATTGATTCAAATTTTTTTATACCACATTATCATTATTTTTTATAAAAATATTGTTTATCTATTTATAAATAAGAGACATTTTTTTATGAAATAAAAGAAATGCGCTTTTTTAAAAAAATGCAGCAAGATATTCGTATAAAATTAAATTAATTATAATTATTGAAAACTATAATATATTTTTATTAATTTAAGAAATAAAACATCTAAAATAAAATCGTCTAACGATAAAATTAAGTCCATTTATTGTACAGCTGACTTTTTGAATAACAAAATGATTAACTCAAAATGAATAGAATACTTATAAACTTATTAAAATTATGCTGCGTAATCATTCAAAAATTCGATAATTTCATTTTTCTCATCTTTTTCCTCTAAGCCTGTGAAAGCCCCAGAAGAACTGCGGTAGTGGCATTCAATTTGCTTTAACAATTGATTGAAGAAGTTAATCTGTAATTGAGGATCAGATTCCATCGAATGATAAGTGTTGAGTGATCTGAAAGGATCATCGGATTCTGCATGAATGTTAAAGATTAATTTTTTTATAATATTATTAATAAGCACAAAATATTTATACATTTTGGAAATTATCGATGTTACAATCAGCTTTGAACAGGAACCCCTCTCTTAAAATTTATAGGAAAAGTTTTATTTTGTTATAAATTTCGATGTAATGTCAAGAATATGTCAATAAATGATTATTCGGATTTTGATGCAAAAGATTCTTTTGTTCATTAAGTTACAAATTATATAGTATTATAATAGCCTCTTTTTGTCACCATTTATAATAATTTGAGGGGATCAAAATGCATTTTAAAATACTGAAACAAAGGGCGATAAATTTATTATTCGTTTAAAATATTGAAATTCATCTTAAAATTAAGGGTGTGGAAATAAAAATCAATTTGATTTAAATCGCGATTATCAAGTGATTTTTATTTCAGCTAAACAATAATTACCAAAATTCGTCACTTGAAAATCAATTGATTTAAATTATATAAAATAAATAATGTTAAAATTTTTACTATAAATACCTTTTAAATTTTATTTTAACAATTTAATAATGAATTATTTAGTAGTCTTTTTCTTATGCTTAAAAATGATTACAATATTAAATGTTTACGTTTAATTTATTTATCAAATATTTATAACACTAAAAAAACAGTCCTCAAATATATAACTAGCATTACTTTTAAATGGAAATTTAATTTCAACAATTACAAAATTTATCATTAAAATATTTAAAAAGAAAAACTAATTTTTCAGATTTTTTAGTCTAAGCTTGTTCCAAATTTAGGTAGGACCTGAAGATTCGAGGCATTTTTTAATTTAATATGGAAAGCGAAAACATTTACTAAACTTTTCTGATTTGGATTGTTATTTAATTATTAATACCAAATGTGTCAGCCATTATTCGAAGCAGTCTGACTTGTTTAATTATTTCTTTCGTACAACCAAGGATTTTGTGATTGAATTTTTTTAAAAGATCTTTTGATGCAGATATTTATAACTTTTTGGTAAACTATTTCGCCAATATTTTTTTGAATTTCTTCATAAATTTTACGTAGCATTGGTCGTTGAATATGTGATACTATTTGTTAGTGAGTTCTGATTACCCTCACTAGAATCTCTTAAAGCACAAACTGATTATTTTTAAAATATTTATTTATATACACTTTTTACCTCTAAATCATTAGATTAGATTAAATATTTGAGAAGTGCATCTATGAGTTAAAAAATTACAAAATCAGAATTTATATGAATAGTTCCCTCATCTTCAATACGCTTTATGTGCTACCCGTTACTATGTTTAGCCAGGCAATTAAAATCATTTTTGTATTTTATAATGAGATCTAAACGTTTTTTAAGTATTTAAATAAAAATATGAAGGCACGAATAAAGATATCACATAAATAAGGAGTAGCAACCATTTTCACGATTCCCTAAGTAAAAGCTTTGGTTATATGTAACCTATCTTTTAAAAAACTCAATTATTTAAATACATTCTGGTTTCTCGTTAGAGCAGGGTTTCAGCCAAAAACTATCCCCTCAGCTTTAAGGTTCTTGCCGTGAGCCCAACCTTGAAGAAAATGAAAAATTTCTCGCGCTTTTATTGAGCCTATTCAAGCAACGATAGACTAAAAAAGGTGCATATAAAAATAATTTGTGACGAATAATGATTAAAGTTAGTCTAATGTAAGAGATTGTTTTAAATTCTAAATTACATTAATAAGTCATAAATGTATGAATTTAATTTTTTAAAAAAATATTTTAAATAATGATTGAAAGAATACTTTTACTTAATGATGGCTGATTAAAAATCCAAGGGAATGCGGGCGAAAGTTGAAGGCCATTTACCATGTTTAAATTTTCCCAATTTACTATCTTCTCGAAGGCATCTTCTCTAATAAAATAAAAAAAATATCGAGAATAATTATTATGGTAAAGTTTAGATGTGTCGTATAAAAATCATCAACCGATAATTTCAACGAATGCTTTCAATTACAAAAAAAATATTTTACAAGTATGATTTAGTATAATAATGTTATTTCGTATTTAAACTTTTTAATAGTAGGTTGCCTGATATCTTCCAATTTACGAACAGCACTTTGAAAGCCCCTGGTTACATTAAAGGCATTAATGGGAGATTCATTAATTTTATTAACATCATAATTGGAATATGGTGTTAAGGTAAATACGTTATCTTGTGTATCGTGATCGGAGAAAAAGTATTTGCAGGATATCTTTTGCATCTGTGATGATAATTTTGATTTTTTTTAAATTAAAAGGCATTAATATATAGTTATTAAATTTTCATACAAGTCGTATTGAGATAGAAGCCATGTGGATTCGGAAGTGCTTAATTTTAAATAATTACTAAGGGCGATCACTTTCAGTAAATAAAATTCGAAATTCTCAATATAACATATATAAATAAAAATTAAAAAAATTTTTGTCTAGTAAAATGCCCAAATTTTACTTTGATTATCATAGTTAACTTTTAACTCCACTTTTAATCAAATTAGGTTAGAGTAAAAATGTTGAGGGCTCACCCACCCCTATAAACTAACCTTCAAAAATTATAGTGTTCCTGAAAATATCAAGTTAGGATGCCCCTTCTAATTTTTTTTAATAAACAATGTAGAATTGTGTGCTCTGCCCAAAGTGTGAATTTTTTATTTATATATTAAAGCTAAACCCACGGCATATTTTATGAGAAAAGACAATAATAGAAGCCATATTGAATCATTTTTATAAAATTCTAATAAATATAGAGATATAATGTATAAAACATTACCTACAATTTGACGGCCTTTATAATAGACTAGATTATAAATTTGCAAGACATATATTGCAGCCAGTCAGATGAAAATCAAAATTATCACGAAAAGTAAAAGTATGAATTTATATGATATAAAATTATTAAGGTCCATCTTTTTTATTTTAGATAGGGCATTTTTAAAGATAATTGATAAAAGACTCAAGAATGATAAAGTAAGCGTGGAATGAATTTAATGTAAGCTCAAAAAATATTTTCTGAAAACTTTCATTCCATAACAAATTTTAGGGCACACATTGCTGTAAAAATTGATAACAATTAAATTTTTTTTATATAAATCATTTTTTGAGATGCTACTCGAATGATATTGAGCTCATTCAAAATCTTCGAAATTCAAATTCTTCATAATTATCTGATAATAAGAGAAATATAATATTATTTTCTTGCGCAGTAGTGCTGAAAGGTCAGTCTGAAATGATTACGAAATTCTATATAAACATTTTAAAAGTCAAATTTGACCAAATAGTTCAAGATATAAAGGATTGGTTATCCAGTTAGAAAGCTTCGAGCTCTTATTATATGTAACCATGAAACGCTATATTCAGTTAGAACTATCGAATCTATCTTTAAGGCTTGAGACAGGAATAATTAGTCTAACTGAAACTGAAAAAGCAGACGATTCGTGAAAGGGTATGTTTGGTAGGAACAATAACTAATTACTGCTAGATAAATATTTTGAATTAAGTGGGACGAGGTATTATATTAAATATTTCTAGCCGATTTAAAGATTTCCCACAATTGTATTAGCATAATTTATTAAAAATATCAAAAAAGAATCGAAATAGCGAATGTTATAGTCACATTGTTATTTATTCATTTACTTATATTGCATTCTAAATTAATTAAATAAATATAAACATTTGTTCATTTTTGATCAAATTATGTAATTTAAATTTTTTTTAAAGATGTTTTTATATTTAAGACACGTTTTTTATTATACTATATAATTATTTAATTATAAAATTTTAAAATAAATGCCCCAAATTTTTCCATAGGTTAAATTTTATTTATCTTTTTTAAATAGCGTGCCATGCGGCAAATTTTCGGAAAGCATCATTGATAATAATCACTCGACAAAATGTAATTATTTATAGTAACATTGCTTTTTATACATTTGATACTTGGGTAACATTTTAAAATTGATCATATATAAAGAAAAAAGATTATAAACCACAAAATATATAATAAAAATGTAAATAAAACTTTAATGCGGCGAAAAGAATTTTGATTGCTAAGAAAATTGCTCAAATGATGCATTCTATAATAGGCGTTCGCAAAATTTCTATATGGTAACGTTGTCGATGCGAATGCTGTGGAAATTAAAGCACTTCTTTCGTAAAGAGATTTAGCCTAATATATTTTTTTATACATTATACTTAAAACCAGCAATGCCATGGGTGTATATATATTTAAATATTCATTTTCTAAATAAATGTGTGATTAAAAAGTTAAAAGCAGGGGAAAACGTTATATATATGCGGGTTATGCCTGAAAAACGCAAAAAATAAATAAGGGTTTAACATGTTTAATAATATATACTTTTGAGAAATCAATGAGAGCTGTGGGTAACCATGATTTGTGATTTGACTTATTTAAATCAAAGGGATTTTCTATAAGAGATAAAGGAAATAAGCACTCGATACTGTCATTATCGTTATACAAATGATTTAGCAAGGAAGCCGAGTTTATTAGCTCTCTGTAAAAAGTTTGCTTTACCCCGTTTTTTAAATCAAGATCCAATTGGTCGTCCTAACAATGTTTGATTTAAAAAAAGATTTTGACATAATTAAAACAAGTATAATAAAATAATTCCATTTTGATTTGTAATTAAAGTTTATTTATTCTAATTAAATTTTATATCCTAACTTAGCAATAAATTTTTTGCTCTTAACAAGGAAAAAGGCCTAAAATAGGTAACAATTTTGTGTAAATAATATTTATGTATAATTACATAAAGGTAATCTGGAAATGACATGTAAACAAATATTGATTTGTTAGGATATTCATCTTTAAGATAATGGAGCATATGGATCTGTAATGAAAGATGAGATGAGCTTGAATCAAGGAGAAAATTAAATCCCTAAAAATTAAATATATATGAAGTATTAGACGTGTAATATAAACTGACTTGTAAATAATCAGAAGTTTCCATAAAATGATGTAAGCCTTCATCTATCTTATCTAAAAATTCTGATTTTCTAAAACATCGATTATATAAATAAGGCTGTTATTTATTTCCAAATATTTTATTCGAAATTGCCTATTTTTAAACATATTTTATCAGTAGAATAATAAAAATGTCAACTTTCATTAAATATATCTTTTTCTCATATTTTATTTTAATAAATTTGGGTGATTCCACGTCAAATCGACCAAAAAAACGAGATTTTCGGCCGACCATCTCAAAAATGTATAAAACTTGGCATGTAAATGTTAATAAAATCAAAATTTTAGAGTGCTAGCTCAACCAGATTCAAAGATATACGCCTCCAAAGTCGAAAATCGCGAAATGCGTTATTTCATTAAATCTTGTTATTTTCAAAAATACTTAAGGTAGAGTTACAAATTATATATCATTTTATAGCCCTTAAAATTTTACGTTGGAAAATATTAAAAAAATTAACATTGTTAGGAAGGGATTTTTTTGGAATATTCACTAAAAATGTTTATTACCTTTATATTAAACGATTTAATAAAAAATCTCGATAGCCATTTTTGTTTTTTTAATTTTATTTTATTATTTTTATAAATAAAAGAATGTAATATAGATGGCGTTATATTAAATTTTTTTAAATATATAATTATGAATAGTATTGTGATTAAAATTAAAAAATCAATTGAGTATAACCAAGAATGATGTCCTGGGGCGATATGTAAGTAGGCAGCCCATACAGATATTATTTTATTGATGCTATATTGTAAAATAAACATATTTTAAAATTTTATAATCAAACTATTATAATTTTGCGCTTATTAATAGAAATTCCTAAGGCCATAATTTGTAGATATATCCTTTCATTGCTGTGGATCTACTATCGTCATTATTTAAAAATAACGATTTTATCAGCTTATTTTATATTTTTATTCCTATCATCGCTACCAATCAATCATCATATATTTCAAAACTTGAACATTTTTTACAACCAAATGAATTTATGATAATTTGTGATTTCTCTGAAAATTATGCATTTATAATCCAAGACACTGTTCAAGGATTCCACTGGAATAATAATCAAGCCACTATCCATCCTATGATAGCATATTTGAATAATGGCAATATAAAAAACCTTAATTATATGGTAATATCAGAGTCACTTCAACATGATGTTATTGCAGTACATTTATCCCAGACTAAAATGATAAAATTTTTGACCAATCAATTCAGCAAAAAGCCAAACAAAATATATTACTGCTCTGATGGATCAGCTGTCCAATATAAAAACAGAAATTTTTTTATAAATCTTTGTTATCATGAATCAGATTTTGGTGTAGCAGCTGAATGGCATTTTTCAGCTACATCCCATGGAAAAGTCCCATGTGACGACCTTGGCGGAACATTAAAAAGATTAGCAGCACGTTAAAGCCTTCAGCGCACCAGTTCTGGACACATTATAACACCAGTTGATTTATATCAGTTTGCCAAACAAAACAAGTCATCAGTAAATTTTACATATATAACCAACAAACAATACAATTTAGAAGAGATTAAACCACTTGAAAGATTCAATTTATTTTCCCCATTCCAGAAACTCGGGAAATACATGCTGTATTTCCTTTGAGTTTAAGTTAAATCAAAAATATATTCATATGCAGAGGACTTTTAAATTAACAATATCTCAAATTCCGATAATTTGTCTTTTGCCGATATTAAAGGATTCTTAACATGTGTTTATGACGATTTTTGGTCGTTAGCCACAGTACTAAAAATGAATGAAATTACTGAGGAGATATATATTGCCTTTTTACATCCCCATAGACCATCACCATCCTTCTTTTACCCCACAATTGAGGAAAAGATATGGTTACCCATTAATCAAATAATAACAATAGTAGATCCTATTACACTGACAGGACATACCTACAAATTATCGTCTCAAGAAATTCTATTACAAAATGGGATAAATATAGCGTCCTAATAAAATCAAATCTGTAGGGGCTGCCTGCTTACATATCGCCCCAGGACATCATTCTTGGTTATACTCAATTGATTTTTTTATTTTAATCACAATACTATCCTTATTTTTATTAAAAATTATATTATATAAAAAAAATTAATATAACGCCACCTATATTACATTTTATTATTTATAAAATAATAAAAATTAAAATAAAATAAAATTAAAAAAACAAAAATTATCGATATTTTTTATTAAATCGTTTAATATAAAGGTAATAAACATTTTTAGTGAATATCACACAAAAATAATCCCTTCCTAACAATGTTAATTTTTTTATTTTCACTGGAAATAAGAAAACACTTGAAATTTTTTAATATTTTCCAACGTAAAATTTTAAGGGCTATAAAATGATATATAATTTGTAACTCTACCTTAAGTACAAACAAGATTTAATGAAATCACGCACTTCGCGATTTTCGACTTTGAAGGCGTATATCTTTGGATCTGGTTGAGCTAGCACTCTAAAATTTTGATTTTATTAACATTTACAACATAAATAACAAACATGCCAAGTTTCATTCATTTTTGAGATGGTCGGCTGAATCGCTGGTCGATTTATCATGGAATTACCCATTTGCCAGTAATAATGAAATCTTTCTAACATTATAATTGGTTTGTAAGTAAACGTATTTTATTTCCCCATCATTTTAATTACATTACCAGCAAATAATTACCTTATTTAAATTAATCTACAAGTATAATCAATTGATTATTTTATTATATCCAAATGTTAAGATTTTTTTAAACTATAAATTATCTAATTTTTCAAAATTTTGATATCATTTTATTTTATATCGATACTTATTTATATATATATATGTTTTTTATGTAAAAGAATTAAGTATTACTTCCTTTGCCCCAATGTTTAAATTATTATATTTGTTAAACCAATCATAATTTTTATATCTATCAGGTGAAATATTATATTAAATGAAGTGATTATTAATTTATACTACCTTATTAGTAAATCAGTAATTTAATTTTAAACTTAATACAGTATATAAATAATTTCTGTTGCAGCCTTTGCATTTTACCTAGGCATTTGCAGTTTAGGCAAACAATGTAATAACCCTACCCATATATTATATAACCTTTTAACTTCACTCTAACATTGTCCAAAATTAGTTTTGGAAATTTTTTTGCCCCAGACACGAATTTTTAACCCAAAAGTTTTTATCACTAGCCATAGAAAGATTCACTCGCGATTTATTTTACTGAACAAATTATTTTATTAGTGATCAAATAAGATTTAAATTCTACCGATTTAAAACTACAGAATAATTTTGCATTTTATATTAATATTAGGACTGTGCCAACATTAAAAGATTGTGAAATATCAGATCGGGCCCATATTTTTATTGTTATTAGTTATATTATGATTGCATAAAAGGAAATAAAATTCAATTTATTTGTAATGTTTTAAAAAGATTGAACTAAAAATTTGATTTTTTTGTTATATCTGAAACTAGAAAAAGATTTTAAATAGTGTTGTTAAACTGCTCGATCTAGCAGATTAAAAATGGCTAACTCAAGATTTTAGTCAAAAGTAAATTATCCATGCTAGGAAATTTCTCACACAGGTGACAGAAAGATTTGGACATCTATTGCTGAAATTTCGAGGCTTAGGTGATAATATATTAGCAAAACTATTGAAAGCCATTAAAAATTGCTTAAATTGAGTCTTTAACAGTATATTAAGCCATAAACATTACCTATAATGAGATAATTAACTCTTTGAGAATAAAAAAAATAATAAATACAATTAATCGTGAAAGTTAGTTTTTTTATTTGAATAATATTAATTTTTTTTATGACATCGATTCAATGATGGATAGTAAATAAAATCAATTTTAATATTGGATCGGCTTGGTAGTAAATAAAATCAATTTTAATATTGGATCGGCTTGGTAGTAATATCAAAAAATATCAAATTGAATGGGTGAAAAATTTGTGGATTGGCATAGCCTTAATTAATATTCCATCATTTATACTGAATACTAATTTGGTAAAAATATTAAATACAATCAAAAAATATTGAACAATTTAAAAATTGATGGAGTTTTAATTATTTGCCTGTAGATCTACGAAGGTCAAATTTTAGATTGGATTTTAATATTTTTTCCATTAAAAAAATTATATTTTTAGCTCAGCTTAAGTTATTTTTTTTAATATAGCTTGGCATAGATTTTTAAAATAATGCCATTCAAGGCGCGTAAACAATGGGGGGGGGGAATCCCCCCATCGCAAATTTGGCTGTTTTCATAAATATCATTTAAAGCTAATAAAAATTTTACAAACCCCGTCAATATTTTATACACACTACTATTAGTATTTTCAATAAAAAAATATTCTTCTTATATTGTATGAGAATTTAAGCTGAGGCTAGTTTTTAACGGAAATTTTATAAAATAAAATGACATTACACTTTATTTCAACTTTACATTTAAAAAAACTTTATTAAATATAATATACCTAACTATAATAAAAAATAGGCTTGTAATATCCATAAGCACAAATTAGTAAATAATAGTTAAAATTATTAATGCTTACACTTTATTTCAACTTTACATTTAAAAAAACTTTATTAAATATAATATACCTAACTTGAAATAATAAAAAATAGGCTTGTAATATCCATAAGCACGAATTGGTAAATAATAGTTAAAATTTAATGCTAAAACATAAGGCCGAAGGCCAGGTAAAAGAGGTTTGGTGGCAAAGTCCCCAAAAAATCCCCCCCCCTATAAGAAAATCCTGAATACGCCACTGATGTCATTCAAAGGCTCACTCCAAGCTAGGTAAGAGATATAGACTTTGGCAGATTACAGACTTGTATTAGAGACCAGCAAATTCAATTTTATAAGCCCAAATTTTAATAATTTTTAAGCCTGAGCCTAGCCCAAGTAATTTTTAGTCCCAAATACATATCTTTATTATAAGCTCTAGCCCAGTCCAAAATTTTTTAATAATATATTAAACACATTTTTATGAAGATAAATGAAAAATCATTAATTACATTGTGCTTATCCCCAAATTATAATTATCATATTATTTGATAAAATAACATTTTCTATATTTTCAAGTCCAGCTCAATATTTTTTTAATTTTTAGGCCTGAGCCTAGATTAAGCTATTTATAAATTTTTAAACCCAAGCCTGAAACCAGGCTTTATTAGAGATTCAATTTAGGTTGAGAGTAAAAATTACCTTTCCTCATATATTATTTAGTTAAAATATATATTATAATTAAATTATTTTTCTATAAACAAATTTATAATAACTCATTTCTGAAATTAGTTGTAGGAATTATTGACTTGGAGCATAGTTTGGTATGTAAAAAATCTGACCAATAATTAATAGAATTATCAAGGGAGGAATATGTTTTTTGTGCTAATTTTGTTAATATTTGTGTATTGGAATTTGAACTAATTACTATGTCATATTAAATCATATATAATATATTTATTAATTACTATTATTCTGCTCTAAATTATAATAAGCTTTTTGAAATTCGTTGTAATAACAATTATCAGCTTCTTGAGAATATTTACTAAAATAAAAATAATAGAATATATTTGTAAATAAAATGCCTTTTATAATCTATATTGATAGGAAGCAATCGAAAATTATCCTTATAATCGCAAATTAAAGCTCTAGGATGGTAACAAGACGATTTATTACTGGACACATTAAAAATTGTTGAAAAATCAATTTCCTTGTTATGACTAATATCATTTTCGTAAATATATTGCACTTCCTATTCATACCTTTTATAACTAGAAATTCGCAAAATACAATACCTCATTATTAATGAAATGTGAAAAGAGATAGTTGGAATAATTCCCACAGCTTAAAGTCAAAATATCTCTAGTTCCCATAATTTTTAAAATTTTTGACCTTACTTGAAGTAGTACTTATTTTACGTTATACGTGATATCAAGCTAACTATCCCTAAACGCCATATATTTAACAGTATTTTTTATTATAATATTGAGGGGATGGTTATAGATGTCAAGGCATGTACATATTTAAACAAATTCGAATTTTCATTTTAAATATTCTAGAGAGAGAAAAGATTCACATTATAATTTTACTGCTAACAAATTGGCAATCTTTATAAACATTATTTGAATACAATTATCCATCACCAGCTATAAATTTGCTTTGCTTAAATATATAATATACTATAGATCTGCAAGTCCCACTATAATTGTCAAAGTTTTTGTATAAGTTGTTGAGCTCGTTTTCTGGTCAAATAATTTTATTTGCCAATTTCTTGGCCCTATTCTTTGAAATGCGAAATGTTAGACCTGGGTTAAAAGGTATCGTACTGATTGCAATATTTTTAAGTTATAATTAGGTAATTTGTTGGTTAACCCATAGTAAAAATTTCGCGTAAATTTCTTCAAACCTGTCAAATATTTATAATGAATTTACAGGAATTTTGTTAAAATGAGGAAATTTATATTTTCCATAAATCACGTAACCAAACAAATATGACATATTAAATGTCACATGATTGTGATAAATGTCAAACATTTGACATGTGAGTAGTTATCATTTTTATATTAAATTATCGTTAGGCAAACCAAACCATTAATGGTCTACTATTTACTAGCATGCGAAGTAGCCGTTCGTATTTGTGAAATATTTAAGTATAAAAAATATAATATATTTGATGGATGTAATTTTGGCAAACTTTATTTAGAAAACTCTCTATTGGATTGAAAAATTTATACACATAAAAAGAATTATTTTATAAATTTAATAGGAGGATTATGATTCTATTTTTTTAAATATTATATATAAAAGATAAGCAGCGTATTCCTATTATATAGCATAATGTTAAAGAATTAATATTTTTTTTAGTATTTAATCATTTCTTACTTTATTCAAAAAAACATTTTAGTTATGGTTTTTATATTTTTCTTTCCTTTCAGTATGTGTATATATAAAAATTTATTATAAATTTTTTTATTTCATTTTTCTTTATATTATTTAAGAAGGCATTCAGAACTAAATAATTATTTTAAGCTTTATATTTCATTTTACTTTATAAGAAGGCATTTAAACTAAATAATTATGAGTTTTTTTTTATATATTTCATTTTACTTTCAAAAACAGGTAAGGTCATCATTTATATTACTTGTTATTCTAATTATATATTTTTTTAAATTTCTTATATTCTTTTTGTATATAAGGTGATGATTATATATATTTAGTCATTATGATTTTTGAAGAATAAAATTTATGATCATCTAACCATCTGTTTTATAAAACTTCATGACCGCGGTGGGATACGAATGTCTATAGTCCAAAGTGACAAATCTGCATTTCTGGGTAGTACCTGGATAAAACTTTTTGGGAATATATTAAATGAATTTGTAAATTTAATATACGTAGATTATGATGATTCAATACAAAATTAATCAAACATTGTGATTTTTGTAAATTTAGTAAACGTAGATTATGATGATGCAATACAAAATTAATCAAACAATGTGATTTTAAATTAAATAAAAGACAAATCTTGCGAAATTGTGTCAAACTACATTTTAAACAAGACGCAACACCGAAAATTATACCACCAAGACGTGTTCCATATTCAAGAATTGATTAATAAAAGAACCACAAAAATGGGTAGATTATAAATCATATAATCAGTTCAAGATTTTCCCTGGGCTAGTTTTCTCATTCCCGTTTTTAAGAGTGATGGCACACTTCTGATCTGTGCTGACTTCAAAAATATAAATAGTGAAAATATAATTTATATGTATTAATCTAATCTAATAATTAAAATAGTATTCATTTAATATAAATTTAAATAGTCTTATTAATTTTTAAATAATAAAATTATCTTATATAATAAAAGGCTTGTCACAGTCACAGTCACAACTGTGACATTATATAGTCAATTATTTTACCTGATAATAGTCAATTATAATTTTGTTAATATATTATGTAATATTCAACTTCTTTAATAATTATTGGACGTTTGTCCTACTTAAATAGGGAGTGATTCTTAATAATATTTAATTAATATTAACAAATTCGGAAGTATTTAAGGTATGTTAAATTGTAGTTTTAATCTCTATGATATTTAGCGCCATCTATAATATTATATTTTATTTTAATAGCATTATATTTCTAAGTTGAAATGTAATATTTTGTCTTAATTGATGTCAAATTTATTGTTCTTTCTATATATCTATAATATATATTTCTATCTATCATAGCAATTTTAAGCCAATTTAGATCATATTAGCAAAATGGATTTAATCTCCTATAAATCATGGAAAGCATTTCAGAAGTATTTTGAGGCAATAGGCAGGAAGGAACATTAGTATGAAAAAAATGTTAGCAGATAATCCTACAAGAGCTAAGGAATTCAAATCTATAATATATATATTCAATAAAAATCATCATAGCTTAAACATATCAAACACGCATTCATAAACCAAATCGAACCGCCATTTTCAAAAAAAGAATTTCAATACAAAAAACAATTACAAAACATATAATAATATAATAATTATAATAATTGATATTTTTTTTAACAGACACAACATCGAGCAAAACCTTCAATCATCAGTAAATAATTATATTTTTTAACAGACACCACATCGAGCAAAACCATATACTTTCAATTTACACATCTTAATCTTGAAGATACTGAAAATCAAGAACAAGTTGAACATTACTGTGGGCCATTAAAATCTATTTTATTATTTTTTTTAGATTCCTACACAAGATACCATTCAACAAAACCAAACAATGGAACGTTTCATACTACCAAAATCTAAAGAAGGCATTATTGCTTCAACAAGAGTAAATTTTATATTTTTTTTAATTTGTATTGTATGTTAGCTGATAGCCCGTCAAGAATGACGAGGAATCAGATTTTTCCTATCTTATAAGATGTGATTCCGAAATATATATTTATTAGGTGAGGGGCTATTCTAATATTTTCCATTATTTTTTATAAATATGTTTATGAAGTATATATTTAGTAATTTTATTTTATGTCCACAATAATAAATATTTTAAACTAAACTTATTTTTATAAAATTGAGTAATTCTTATATTTTTTAATTCTAATAATAAATCAACATAAGGAGAAAGCTAGAAAGAGACAGGCACTTTGTCGAATCAAGAAAAGGTATTCCTACAACATCCAACCATCTTGAAGATACTGGAAATAAACAATTTGCTTCAACATCCAATCATCTTGAAGAAACTGAAAATCAAGAACAAGTTGAACTAAAAATTAGATTGCAAATCCTATATTGCTGATAGGTTTCAGCAGATAGAGGAATTATTATAATTGCCTTCCAAAAATTAAAAATACTGTGGGCCATTAAAATCTATTTTATTATTTTTTTTAGATTCCTACACAAGATACCATTCAACAAAACCAAACAATGGAACGTTTCATACTACCAAAATCTAAAGAAGGCATTATTGCTTCAACAAGAGTAAATTTTATATTTTTTTAATTTGTATTGTATGTTAGCTGATAGCCCGTCAAGAATGACGAGGAATCAGATTTTTCCTATCTTATAAGATGTGATTCCGAAATATATATTTATTAGGTGAGGGGCTATTCTAATATTTTCCATTATTTTTTATAAATATGTTTATGAAGTATATATTTAGTAATTTTATTTTATGTCCACAATAATAAATATTTTAAACTAAACTTATTTTTATAAAATTGAGTAATTCTTATATTTTTAAATTTTAATAATAAATCAACATAAGGGATTATTAGAAAATCGTATGCATGATCGATCTCACGGTATAAATCGATTAGCAATACACTTGCCATTTCATCAACCGGTATATTTTATAGAAGGACAAGAACGTCAGGCATTAGAGAAATCTGCCAGCAGAAAACATTAACTGCCTGGTTTGAATTAAATAAAAATGATGTTAATGCCCGTCAATATTTATATGTCACTATACCATCTCATTATACTTTCAGCGCTAATAAGTGGAAACCAAGGCAAAGACAAAACAATATAATTTTAAGGATGTATACTGTTGATCCTAAATCCGGCGAGAGATTTTTCCTATGTTTACTATTACTTCATGTTGTTGGCGCCACAAGTTTTGAATATTTGAGAACTGTAAATGGAGTTTTATATAATACTTTTAAAGAGGCGGCTTTTAAAAGAAATTTATTGGTTGATGACAAGGAATGGGAAGCATTTATGGAAGAAGCGTCAACATTTTTAATGCCCATACAGTTGCGTTAATCTTTTGCCATTATTTGTATTTTTTGTCAGCCAGAAAATCCAAATAACCTCTGGGAAAAATTTAAAAAATATATGATAGAAGATTTCGCACATACCCATACAGATTCTATTGCAATTAATATGGCCTTATCAGATATAGAAAAAGTATTGCACGACCATGGTTTTCGTTGTAGTAATTTCAATTTGCCTGTTCCTACTTTAATAGCTCAGGATGATTTTTATAACAATGATCTTGAGGCAGCTGAGGCATTGAAACTAATTACTAAATTAAATTTTTTACAAAACTCAGCCTTTGATTTAATCGTTCAATCTATCGAAAATAATGATTTTCCTCAGCGTTGTTTTTATATTGATGGTCCAGGTGGATCGGGAAAAACTTTTTTGTATAATACCCTAATGTGCTACATTAGAGGACGCAACCAAATAGTTTTACCGTTTGCAACAACAGGCATTGCCGCTATTCTTTTAAAAGGGGTTAGAACAATACATAGTGGATTTAAATTACCTATTCCGATTGTTGATAACTCTGTATCTCGCA